CCCACTGGGAGGAGGCCCCGGGGAAGACCCAGGACACGCTGGAGGGACTATGTCTCTCGGCTGGCCTGGGAAGGCCTTGGCATTCCTCCGGAGGAGCTGGAGGAAGTGTCTGGAGAGAGAGAAGTCTGGGCATCTTTGCTTAGACTGCTGCCCCCACGACCAGGTCTCGGGTAAGCGGAAGAAGATGGACGGATGGATGGTGAATCATTTATTCTATGAATCAAACAGACAGTGTGTTCTTTGTGCACAATATGCAGATGGTACACACCTGACCCAAAAACGCTGACAAGAGCTTGTGTGACACAGAGCTGTGTTTAGTGCTGCTGACTGATATACGCTCATTTTAGCATATGCTCAATGTACACTAACACAGTTCATGTTAACGCACAACATCCAACCTCCCTCAAGGAGATTTTTTGTCTGCACCTTAGCAATTACTTCAGCTGAGCACAGTGTTATCAAGAGAGAAATAATGGCTAAAGCTTGGCAGACCACAGTTACAGAAACCCCACCAGGTTTTGCATTTATACAACACAGTGTCTATCCATCAGATCCAAAGGACACAGTGAATATGTTAACACTGCAGTATATCACACTAAAGGACAGGTATTGTCCTTGCTTAAGCACATACAATAATAAGGGGGAACTAAGGCACTAACGGTGGTATGTAAAAACTCCCTTTGTAGGAGTACACTCTGTCTATGGGCCCATCTGAATATGCAGTTCTTTTATGTCAAGTGTTTTCTCACTCTTGTTCTCTTTGGTCTGCTCCAGAATAAACCCATTCTGTGGCTTACACGGTTCCACACACAGTGGAAAATCAGACAAGCTAGAGTTGCACTCCTTGTCGTCATTCTCATTCTCTCCTTCATCTTTCCTTTTTACTTCATCTGCAGTAGGTGTACTGCAGTCAAACGTGGGAGTGCTGTAGCCATAGGCCTCACTGTGAGGTCGGCGAGCCTCATCTGGGATGTTCTTCTTCAGGTCCCGATTCCTGTTGCGCTTGGCCAGCTTGGTGACAGAGCCCAGGCGGTTGAAAATGTTGTCCTCAGATGTAGTCTGGTGATTGGAGCGCCGGTCACACTGCTCGGCCCCCCGCAGCCGGAGGTTGTTTAGCTTAGTGTCGATGCTTTCCTGGGAAGAGGTTTTATAGCTGTTGCTGTCCAGGCTGTTGATGGCACGGCGCTCTGGGGAAAGCATGTCCAATGAAACTGCGCGCTGGTCCAGGCCCAGCTGCCGTCTCTCCATGCTCCGGATAGTGGCGGCTCGCTGCAGCTTGTCGTGGACCTCGACACTCATACGCCGACGTGTCTCCCGGAATTCAGCTCGCACATTTGCTTTCCACTCTGCTGCATGAGCTTTTATCTCTCCAACCTTAGCCAAAGACAGATCCTACTTATCAGTTTATATGTTCTTGGTTCAAAAATAACACTGCATCATAATGATTTAACATTTTCATTTTTCATTTTCAAGATAAATAAATCCATTGACCAGTGACGGGCCAGTGACTTGAGCTGGAGGTCTCTGGCCTTTACTGTTATTCCCAGAATGTTCCACCAACTTAAAATGTAACAACTGTCAGTAATAACTTGTAAATTAAGTATCATGCAATGATTATTGGTTGTGATAAAGTAAGAAATCATAAAATGCCAAAGCTTGTGCTGCCTTGGTCATGAATTTTATATGAATATCATCATATCCACATTAATTAATCAATTATGAGAGCATACCTCTTCTTTTGTCTTTTTGGACAGCACCCTGAGCCAGTCACCAATCATGTTCAGCACAGCAGCAAAGTAGGCCAGACCACCCAGGATCCAGAACCACACTAGTGGCCTGTACCAATTCCGATACGCTATCCTTCGGTCTCCACCTTATTAGAAAAGAAGAAATTAATGAACATCACTTTGCTGCTATCAACATGCATCTCCACCCGAGCATTTCAGGGAATGAAGCTTTGAAGTTGAGAAAGTTAATTTTTTCAATTTTGTTCTATGTTGGTGATCATTTTTTAAATAATGATATTTAAAAAAAAAAAAAAAATTATGGTCCAAATAATCTAAAACAAACTGGTGAATTTCCATTCAGTTTCCTGCACGTGTTTTAGGTTCTGTGGCAATGAATCAGAACACTTTTGGATGACCTTCTGACCTTTTTTCAACAGCTGTGCCAACCATATTTTCCATTTGCACAGGTTTAGCTTTGTGATACTAAGTATCATTGGCTTCTTGTGCATTTGATCGTTTACTAGGTGACTAATCCTAGGAGACATCCAAAATTGATTCAAGCCATTAATTCTCTGCTGGTTCTTGAAATCCACACTGATGACTGCTGCAACTCCCTCTGTCTCAATGTTACCATAACACCTTCAATATCCTCCTTATGTGATTGAACATTATGATATTGTTAGCTGCTTACGCTCCAATGTTTTGTGTGTGGGTTTACAGCTGACTCAGATTCTGTACTTTTAGTTTTGATTGTTAGGAATTACAATTCTTTGATAGCCCTATCAAAGTGCTGATAACATTCATTCTCCCAAGAAACAGATAAGATGAACTTTACTTTAAAATATCATCTACAAACATGTTGCACAGCATCACCATGAGGCTGCAGAAGTTTTTTCAAACCCCCTCTGGCTTAGTATATGTTTTTTCTAATTTTTACACTTGCAGTTTGTAGTTTAAACAGTTTATAACCATCCAGTCATTTTCAAGTGTGATGGGATGTCAATGGGTGAAGGTGGGACATCCTTTCAGGAAATGATTCCCCATGATCTGTGCTGAAGGTGAGAAGTTTGATCTCCTTTTGTCCCAGTAATCATTGATAACTAAGAAATAAAAATATTGGCAGACAGTGAGGATGAATGGCACCGTGCAGCAGGTTTGACAGAGAGTGAAACTGCTGAAAAAAGCAACTGCTGGAATGAGGCCTGCCGTGTGTCTTGCTCATGCATGGACAAGATGAGCTCCAAAGGTCGACTGACAAGAAATTATTCGCAAAATATTTTTATAATTGATTAATTGTTAAAACATAATTTCAATCACAAATGTCAATTTTTCTCCACTTCCAGCTTCTTAGTGTCTCAGATTTTCAAGTTAAGTCAAGTCTATTTCTAAGCACATTTAAAACAAGAGTTCACTAAGGTGCTGTTCATCAGTCAGAAAAAAATGGCAAATAAAAAGTAAATAAACACCATAATTATAAGAACCAAGTATCTAACAACTCTCTAATAAACAACAAATATAGCATGTCTAACCAAGGTTTAAAAGCCAAAAGAATAAAAATAGATCTTTAGGTGAGACTTAAACATTTCTGGTGTTGGTGTTGCTCAGATGTGTAATGGTAAGCTGTTCCACAGCTTGAGACCTATTACAGCAAAGGCATAATCTCCTCTAAGTTTAAGCCTGGACTTCAGAATGACAAGAAGCATTTGGTTTGAGCACTTAAGAGCCCTGCAAGGAGTGTGGAGATGCAAAAACTTGGAAAGGCACAATGGTGCTAACCCATGTAGTGTTTTAAGAACAAACAGAAGCTTAAAATCAATTCTGAATTGAACTGGAAGTACGTGGCAATATTCAAGTATGGGATAAATGTGGTCATATTTACATGCTCTGTTAGGAACCTAGCAGCAGCATTTTGAATGAGCTGGAAAAAGGACAGTAAGCACTGGCTAATTTTTGTTTAAAAAGAATTATAGTAATCAAGTTGTGATGAGATGAGCACATGCATTACTTTTTTGAAATGGGAAGGAGAGAAATGGTTTAAATTTGGATAACACTGAGCTGAAAAAAAAGCTAGATTTGATGACAAATAATTTGTCTAGCAACATTAAATTCATGGTCAAATAAAACTCCCAAATTTCTGCTACAAGGCTTACAATAGAAAACCAATAAAGAAAGAGCTGATGTGAGTAATGACAGCTGTTAAGGATGAAAACCAGCCCAGGTTGACTGAGAAGGTCCTATTAGTCAGATAGTATTTAAACCAGTTTAATGTGTCATTCAAGATACATGCAAGAATAAGAGATTTAATCAAGAATGCAGGAAGGAAAGACTCTGTTTTAAATTTTCTGTGTATTACTTGTCTGGTGAAGAAGAGAATGACCTATGTAGAGATACTACTTGCAGCCAATGATGCATGAATTTTTTTGTATAAGATGATGTTATGGGGTAGGACTGGATAAGTCTGACTTCTTCCTACTCCATTCAAACATGTACTAGGTATAAGCAAACTGATTCTGAATCAGCATTGGTTGGATTTGTATAATTATGTGTGTGTTGATGTCGTTTGTTCTGCATGTTTGAAAGAATAAATCAAATCAAATCAAATCAAATCAAATCAAATCAAATCAAATCAAATCAAATCAAATAATGCATTACCTTTTATACCACAACATGTTTCAAGTCAGGAAACAAGAATCGTGTGATTCATAATGAAACGCAGCACTAAGATCTAAAAGTACTAAAATAGCAGGCTTGCCTGAGTCAGTTATTAATAGAACATCCTTAAAAACCTTTAACAGTGCAGACTCAGTACTGTGGAGTGCTTTAAACCCAGACTAAAATTTTTCAAAGATAGCATTTGCAAAGAGGAAGAACTGCAACTAAAGAAGAACAACTTTCTCAAGAACCTTGGGGAGGAAAGGCTGTTTAAAAATTGGCCTAAAGTTAGAAAAAAGAATAGGGTCAAGGTTAGGCTTTTATTTTATATTAAAGGCTGCACTACAGTGTGTTTAAAATCAGCTGGGACAGACTAAAGGCAGCGATACTAATACTAGGCCCAGTAGAATCAAAAATGTCTTTTTTCAGGGATTTCTGCAATTGCAAAATGAAAATCTCTGGATTTGGAACTGTTGGTCGGGCAAAATAAGACATGAATGCCACTGATCCATCATGGCAGACAAAACGAAGAGAGGCAGAAAGCTAGGTTGCAAAGGCACTCCAAAAGTAATGTGAAGTATGGTATACACCTGCATTTCACAGCTGTCAGCAACTGCTGTTACATCAATCCTACTGACCATGGCAGTTCTTTTTAAAGTGGGTGTCATTTCTATTTCATGCGTTTTACAGTAGGTTGGATATACTGCAAGTGTAGCCAGTAATTCCCTCATTGTCTATTATTTGTCAGTTTTGGACTTTAGTTTTGCCTTTTCAAAAGTGTTTATGTAAACTCCTCTGTGTGTCCTGTGTGTCTATTACACCAAACATGAGTGAACAGGTTAATTTCAGTTTCAATATGTCAGATATTTAATGAGCATTTATTGTAGGTAAATATAAGTATCAAATCAGTATTGCAGGTAGTTATTAAAATAATCAGATCCAAATCAGGGCCAAAAAAATTTGATCAGGACATACCCAGTGTTCAGTAGAAGGATATACAAAATAATCTACTTTGAACAACATTTTCTACGTATTATGGGTTTTCAACACTGTTCTCCCTCATTCAGAAATCCAGGATCTATGAATGTGCTAATGTGTGGGACACTATCTATCCTTATTCACTCAAAGGTATATTCTCAGTCTGTGTGATCTGGAGACTTCAAGTTTCCTCATCACACTGTGTATACTGCAAAAACTTAAAGTTTAACTCTTCAGCAGGTGAAGGTCAGAACAAACTTTGCAAATAGTATGTATTAGATCAGTCCAACACTGTCATATTGTTTACTGTAGTGAACACTGAGGCTTGTAACTAACAGAGCTTTACAAGTTTAGTGTGAGGTTGCTGTATTCTTATTTATGATAAACTTGTGGTCTTGACATCTTTAATTTTCTTTTAAAATAAACTATTTTATAAAAAAAAAGCTAAACCTATATTATAATTAAAAACTAATCAGTAAATACAAAGGGGCATTATGTCAAGTCCGATAGAACCTTTGACATGTTCTGCTAAGTTTATTAGTGAATAAGAAAAAAAAAACAGGTCAGGCATTTAAATTAACACATATTTTGACCGTGAATCATACGTCTCACCTGCTACATAGTCACCTATTCCAACTGTTGTCAGAGTAATGACAACAAAATATGTTGACTCCAGAGCTGTCCAGCCCTCAATGTGTTTGAAGATCACAGCTGGAATGGTGACGAACAGGATGCAGCCAGCTAAGATGAAGAGGAGGGTGGAGGTGACACGGATTTTAGTCTGACTGATCTGGTTGTGTTTGTTCTATGAGAGAAATACACACAAATACATACAAACTATAAGCACTGTAAGTCATAATACTTGTCTCATTTTGAGCAGGGTTCTGATTGTGTTTGGACCATTTGGCCAATTGTGTGCTTACTGTCTATGGCCCAGAGGGGGATAAAGTTCAGTGGTTGGCTGTACCATAATGGAAGTAAATTTTGTTTTCGACTTTTGGTTTGTAACATGTAGGCTAGCCACTTACAAGTGAACCAAGGATTTTGAACAAGAGAGATACTTTGTACAGTTGTATGATTTCAGTCATATTTCTTCAGTTGTGTGTCACACATATGGCTGATGGAACAGATATGTATGCTTCAATTTGAATCAGTACAGCTGCACTGACTGTACTTTTCAGTCTTATGCAATATACGTATGTCTCAATTGTAACACATCACCACCTCATTGTAAAAAGTTCAACTTCTCTAACACACCACACTTTGCCTTTGTATCTCAACTTATAGTATGCAGTGCTCATACCTCTTATTATAGTATATGCATTGTCTTACACTTGCACTTAGCCACACACAGCCAAATGCACAATCATGTTCTTCTACAAGTACTAGAAGTATCTCTCTCCAATCTTTATGAAGTCTCACAATGTTTTCTTATTTCTTCAGGCAATTGGAGCCAGGATGCATTAGACACACCTGAGAAAGCTGTGGTATTCACAGGTTACTTTATAAACTTTGTTCATGTAATGAGCATTAAACTAAAATCAAAGGTACCGTTGCATTTGGTGCAGTGATCACAGATATACTGACTTTTGTTGCACTAATTACAGGTAAACTAACTTTGGCTGCAGTGGTCACTGGTGCAGTCAATTCAGTTCAATTTGTATAGCACCAAATCACAACAAAAATCATGTCAGGGCACTTTACCTAGTAAAATCCAAACAAGCACACAGGAACTGAGGAGTTTATTAACACAATATACAGATGTAGTCTATATCCAAAAATTACAAAACCAAGTAGAGTAACAACTCAGCATGCTACTCTAATAGATAATATATTTACCAATGTTATGGACAGTAAAATGACAAGTGGATTACTCATAAATGATATTAGTGATCACCTACCAATATTTGTGGTTTATGAGGGCCAGTATAGAAAAGAGAGGCCTAAAACAAATTTTTTCTATAGGAGGGTGATGAATGAACATGCTGTAATGAGACTAAAAGAGGATTTTATGGGGCAAAACTGGGAATCAGTTTACAGAGAGGAAGACTTAGATAATGCATATGAGAAATTTTTAAACATATTTAAGACTGTATATGACAGGAATTGTCCTCGTAAGCGGTATAAAAATAAAAAAGAATTACAGTGAGAGATTACAGAGCAAGGGATTACAGAATGCATGCAAAAAGAAGAATGTGTTATATAAACAGTTCATTAAGGACCGATCAAAGAAGGCGGAAGAAAAATATAAGACATATAAGAACAAATTAACTGAGATTTTGAGGAGATGTAAGAAACTATATTACTCTAAAATATTAGAGGATAATAAAAATAACATCAGAGGTACTTGGAATATATTAAATAAATTGATCAGAAACAGTTCTAGAAGGTGTAACTACCCACAATATTTTATGGATAATGATACACAGGTTAATAAATTGGAGGATGTAGTTGAAAAGTTTAACAGGTTCTTTGTGAACGTTGGTCCTAGTTTAGCAGGAGGCATTTGTACAGATGATACATCCGTCACTATAAATAATAATACAATCGAAAGGAACATGAGTTCAATGTTTTTGAAGCCCATAGCTGAAAAGGAAATTATAGAGATAGTGAACAAATGTGGTAACAAAACATCCAGTGATAGTGATGGTATCACCATGACAACTGTCAAGTGGGTAATTGAGGGGATATGTAAACCATTAACCCATATTTTTAATATGTCGTTTCGACTTGGGCAGTTCCCCAATAATATGAAAATAGCAAAGGTTATTCCACTGTATAAATCTGGTGATAAACACAACCTCACAAACTATAGACCGATTTCTCTGTTGTCACAATTTTCAAAAATTCTGGAAAAACTCTTTAATAACAGACTAGACACATTTATTGATAAACATAATATCTTATCTGATTGTCAATATGGTTTTAGGTCGAAAAGATCAACATCCTTGGCCATTACTGACCTGATGGAGGACATTACAAGTGCTATGGATGAGAAAAAAATTACGATGGGGATATTTATTGACCTAAGAAAAGCATTTGATACAATTAATCATGAACTATTAATGGACAAGTTAGAGAAATATGGGATCAGAGGAATAGTTTGGAAATGGATCAGAAGTTATTTGACACAGAGGCGTCAATTTGTGAGGTTGGGGGAATATCAATCAAGTGAGCTGAACATTGTGTGTGGAGTGCCTCAGGGTTCTGTGTTGGGACCTAAACTATTTATATTATACATCAATGATATATGTAAGGTTTCTGAAACTGTTAAAATGGTTTTGTTTGCTGATGATACTACCATTTGGGCATCAGATGAAAACTTACAGCAACTCTCTGTAAGGGTTTCAGAGGAATTTGGGAAGATAAAGAAATGGTGTGATAATAATTTACTATCTTTGAATTTAGAGAAAACTAAATATATGGTATTTGGGAACCGTAGACCACATAATGAACTTCAATTGAGAATTGGGGGTGCCAACATTGAACGAGTATATGAAATTAAATTTCTGGGGGTAATGGTTGATGACAGATTATCCTGGAAATCTCATATTAGACATGTTCAGCATAAAATAGCTAAAAATATATCGATATTGGCAAGGGTTAGACATATGCTGGACGTCAAAGCATTGCGGATTTTGTATTGTTCATTGATTTTGCCATATTTGGAGTATGGCGTTGAAAACTGGGGAAATACATACAGGAGTTCACTTCAACCATTGTACATATTACAGAAGAGAGCGATAAGAGTTGTGCACAAGATGGGGTATAGGGATCACACAAATGTAGCTTTCATACAGTCTAAATTGTTAAAATTCTTTGATTTAGTGGAATATAAGACTGCTGTGTTTATGTATAAAGCCAGGAACAATTTATTACCTGGTGGAATCCAAAAGTTATTTGATGAAAGGGAAGGGGGATATAACTTAAGGGGACATTTAAATTTAAAAGTTCATGCTATACGAACAACCAAAAAAAGATTTTGTATTTCTATAAGTGGGGTCAAACTATGGAATAACTTAACTGTGGACATGAAAAATAGTACCAGAATTAAGGAGTTTAAATATAAATATAAATGTATGTGTTATACAAGATATATGCACGAATAAGTAACAATCTGCTTTATCTATGTAGTGATATTGCTTGCAGCCAATGTTGCATAAATTTTGTATAATATGATGTCATGGGGTAGGACTGGATAAGTTTGACTTCTTCCTACTCCATTCAAACATGTAATAGGTGTAAGCAAACTGATTTTGAATTAGCATTGGTTGGATGTGTGTAATCATGTGTGTTATTGTCATTTGTTCATTGTTCTGTTCTGTTCTGCATGTTTGAAAGAATAAATCAATCAATCAATCAAAGATATAGACATTCTTATTGAGAAAAACTCAATAAATCCCCCTTGAGCAAGCACTTGCCAACAGTGGGGAGGAAAAACTCCCTTTAACTGAAGATACAGTGCCTTGCGAAAGTATTCGGCCCCCTTGAACTTTGCGACCTTTTGCCACATTTCAGGCTTCAAACATAAAGATATAAAACTGTAA